GAGGGGGGGGAGGCGTCGGAAAGGAGACCGCTGTGGTTCCGCTGCCGCTGGATCCGCACACAACCGTTTTGGGACTTAGACCTTCGACGGCGTACACGTGAGTGAGGGTTTCCTCTCGATTGTCCGGGGAGTGATTGTCGTGGGTGGTTGTCGTAGGTGGTGTTGGTGATGTTGCTGTTGCTATCGCTGTCGCTGTCGCTGTTGCTGTTGCTGTTGCCGCTGTTGCTGCTGTCGCTGTTCCTGGCGTTGTTGTGTTCGGCGGCGATGCCCGGTGCTCTCCCGCGTGTGCCGTCGGTGTGATTGCTTGCGCCTGTGATGTTTCTATGGGGGTCTCTCGTGGCGTTGACCGAGCCCTTTTGCTGCATCGCGATCCATGCCCAGCTGTTGCTGCTGCTGCTGCTGCTAAGCAGGCGATAGATTCAGCCGGGAGAAAAACTGACGTGTGTGTGACGACAGGGTTCACCACCGCCGTGCCTAGTCATGGGACCGCCTACGCAGGATTTTAAGAGTATCTAAAAGTTGAATAGGGAGGGGACACGCAAACCCTAGCCCTAACCCCCAAGCACGGATTGAATACTTTCATCCCATATGTTTGCTTAATCAACTTTGCTGCGTATACTTATGTAGTGATGATTGTTGCATGTTGGCCATGTACACGTCGTCGTGACTTTCGGGCAGGAAGGGACAGGTGCAGGTACTCAACAGCAGTACAGTGCCTATCGACGGCAACACGAATCGAATCGACGACTTTTGAACGATTTTCTGATCGCCGTTGTCGCTGCGTGTACAGGTTCCCGTCAGCGATGAGCCCGTGCGTCGTGGAGTTTGTGCTGAGCGACTCCGTGGGCCCGGGCTTCAAGGGGGATGATCTGCTGCTAGGTACGAGAGGGAAACCCTCGCCGTCACCGGAAGTTGTCGGCTTCGTCGTGTAGACGGGCTGCTGCTGTTGGCGTGCGTGCGTGTGTGCTCGTGTTTGTTGTGTGTAATGATTTTTGCCGTGCGCGTGTTGCTTTGGGTTAACCGTACGCGGCAAGTAGTTGCAGGACGCTAACAGTTACAACCGCACCGCGGGAAATTATTAGGTATCGATTGCAACAAAGGTGTCGTCTACAAGCAGTGGGGGTCCGTCCCTCAGTGCAGTGCCTGTAGGTGCCCGCCAGATTCACGGGGGCACCCCAGTACTTGCAACTATTCCAGGAATGAGACAAGTTGGACATGCCATCCTGGTCATGCGATTCCACCTGCACAGCACTACCAGCGTGGCGTTTCGACTATACAACCGGCACTATTGAGGGCCCCCACCATAGCTTCAACAACGAGATGGCCCCCTAGCGTAGAAACGAACACCAAGAGCATGACTACCGTATATGACACAAGATAACACACCCCCTGGACCAATTTTCAAAGCTCTATTCCTCCACGACGAAGAGGATGCATAAACGAAACGATACTTTTTTTGAAAGCTCTTGGCGAGACGGTTCCAACGCCGCCGTTTTCGGCGCCGTGACTCTTTCTGTTGTTGAGAAATCGATATTTGAAAATCGGTCCAGGGGGTGTGTTATCTTGTGTCATTTACGGTAAGTATCACAACTTTCAAAGAAGCACTTTTTTTTTTTTTTGCCAAACAGAGCCGTGCGACGAGAAGCCTAGGATGGTGACCGACATCAGCGAAGCCGACCTGAAGTCTTGGAGCGGCGCCGGCCCCTTGCCGAGAGTACGATCCAGCTCGGTCGGGGCGATACTCCACGTCGAGTCTGCCGTTGTCGAGGCGTGGGAGGTAATCAATCGATCGATCGACTTGTTGTTGTTGTTGTTGTTATTGGTGTTGGTGTTGGTGTTGGTGTTGGTGTTGGTGTTGGTGTTGGTGTTGGTGTTG